GTCTTGTCCCGTGCATGTGGAGAGGAAGGGTGGCTATCTGACGGTTTTCTCTGTTGGTTTTGATTGGTTTTCTTTTGTGGTATTCTAAAGGTTCCGGTTGGCGTCGACTGCACCTGCTCATCGAAGCAGGAAATGGGTACGGGAGGGATCTTTCATTTGCATTTCTAGCGGATCATGGAGGATTGCCTCCGCATACAATACATTCTGGAACTTCGTACGGAGAACTACGCAGTGCATCTTACAGGTTAGGTGGCTATTACTCATGGTATCAGATTATTGGCGGCTCCTATTATCGTTGTTTGTTGGGATGATGGGTGTCTTCTGAGTCAATAGCGCATGCTGGCTGAATCAATGAATATAGCGCGGTTCTGCCCAGTATACTTTCCTTATTCGACATGTTGCATTCACAGTGTCTCCCGGGTTCTCGTGTAGGATGGCGACCAAGGTATACATGAACCTTGAGTGGCCTCGGCCTTTCATCCCTTATATTCACCACATCTTGAGCCTATGATGCGGTGTGGTTGGCCTACGGCGGCTATGGTCTTGCTGAACTGACAGATCTGCGTGAGGTTTATGCTAAAGGGAATGCCTTGTCCCTTGGGCATGATGGTTTAACCTCCTCCTTTCATAATTATATAGTGGAAGCGTATGTACGTCGAAGGTTGATAGCTGATGTGTCGGAGATGAGGTTGTGATAAGAATGGCCATGTTCCATGGATGTTGTGTTGAGGTCCCTAGGTTGCCTCAGGCACCGCTGCTAGCAACCAAGGTCCTAGGTTGCTTCGTACGACGTTACCAGCTGGGCGGGGTGGGGAACCCTGCAACCGAAGTACCAGTAGTAGTGCGCAGTAGAAGAGGCTGGGTTTGACACTTAAAGAGATGTCGACTGGTCTAGTACTAGATAATGAGTAAATGACTTCTAATTATGGACGCTAGTGGTCCATAAAATTTATAATAATTGTACTAACGATTGTCTACATTGTGGCCCCAGCCATCTCTGTTTTGATTATGTGCATCGACCTGTCCCGCACGTGCACCAGCGCCCACACCTCACCGCGATTCCGAATCTTTCCAACTAACCTTCTCTGCATTCCTCATTTTTTTTTAACCCTACTGTAGGGAAGTCATCTCATCCGAGATCGAAACTCAGTTTGTCTCCGACATCATCAGCCTCCCCGCATTCCTTTAATTCTGCACCATATCTCTCCCCTCTATCTCACCAGACCCGAGCTGTCGCTCTACTGGAGGGCGCTAAGTCCTCTCGATCGCCCTAACTAGCGGCACGCTGGAGCAACCAAACTTAGATTGCTGACCAAAGTGGTCCTCGCCTCCGCGTGAAGCTGGGGCCCTCCTCCGACTTCCGAGCAAGAAGGAAAAAAAAAAAGAACCACGGTTCAGCTGCGCCAATGTTTACTACCCTTCCGTCGCAAAAACAACTCGGCTGAACTGACCGATCAATCTATACGCGTCCTTTTTGTCCCTAATAGTTAATTTTCTGTCCCACTCATCTATTCCCTTATACTTTCCCTGCTAGTCCCCCTTTTTCTTTCTTTTCCTTTCCTTTCTTTTTGCCTCGATCTTTATCATCCTCACTATCTTATAGCCGGCCTGCGTTTGGTATTTTTCTCAACACACGCACACACCTACCCACACTTTCCTTTGCCTTTCTTGACAGCTGCAGCAGCCCGTATCCCACATGGTTGCCTGGCTGTTTAGGGCATCGCCTTGATCGCTCTCTGCCCACTATGTTCAAGGCCTTATTGGCCGGGGGCCGTTCGTCCGATGCCCGCAGCAGCTCTAGTTCTAGAAATGGTAGCCGTCGCAGAACAGATTCCAAAGCTTCTTCAACAGTGAGCCGCAAGTCCTCACGGGGTGACGACCGTGATCGAGGCTTGGGTGACCTGTCAGCCTACTCGTCGTCTGGAAACCGCAGCAAGCGCTATGCACCCAGTGCGGCAGGCGATTCCGTTGTGTCGAGCTATGCGACGGCGGAACCTCACACCGTGATCGAACCCGACCGAAATGTCATCGAACGGGCACCGAGGCGCAAAGCTACCGACGATAGTGAACGTAGCAATCGATATCCAGACAGCGATGACAACAGTGCCAAACCCCGACATAGACGCAATCGCTCCCGATCGCCGAGTCGCGAACGAACCAGTGAACGCTATGACAATACAGATGAGGTTGATAATGGAAACCGTGAAAGTGGTCATCCTCGAGAGCGGCGACGAACGCAACCTGACGAAATGCCTTTATCGCCAGGTGTGCCCATTTCCGGTGTTGGGGCAGACTTAGCTCCGAAGATGAGAACTTCTGACCATTCCCAATTCCCCCCGCCGTTCCACAACACACACCCAGTGACATCTATGCCAAGCTCGCCCAACGTGCCCGGTGTCTACGACCCCCATGTACAGCAGCAGTTTCCAGGCCAGTTTCCGGCCTTCGTTGAAGAACCTTACAGACCAAACCCTGCAGGCGCAGCAGCCGATTACTACGGCGACCAAGGGCAGTCAGTCGCGCAACAACCCGGTGTTCGGCCTAAGCCACCAACAGTTATTCCCAATAGTCAATCGCACTTGATGCCGGCATCACCACATGCCAACCCGCCGCCAGAGCCTAGTAGTATGGGGCAGACCGGTGCAGCGGCTGATTATTACGCAGACGACGCAGACCCAGAGACACAAGCACCCGACCAATCAAGTAAACCACCTTCAGGACCGACACCCAAACCTCCCAGACCAACTATACAAACTGAAGGAGTCTCGGGGCCTGTTGCAGCCGCTACTGCGCATGACGAAGGCAGCCCTCAAGATATTGGCTCTGGGCCCTCTCCATTGCTAGTCGAGTCGTTGACGCCTACATTTGTCCCGCCTACTGGTATAAACCCGTCCAAACCGCCCGATACTCATGGTGTAGGGACATTAGTTGGCGCAGCAGCAGCAGGTGCGGCAGCAAGCTATATGATGGGCCACCATCATCAATCATCCGTGAACGTAGAACATTCCTCTCAACCCGGCAATCAGAATTACGAGGACGCTTCCCCGTACAGTGTGGGACACGCTGGTCCATCTACGTACCCGGGTCAGCTGAATGCACCACCCATCTATACTGCTGGTGCTGGGGAGACAGCGTACGCTGCCCACCCGTCGCATCCTCATCATGCAGCCCTCTACCACGGAGCGCCATTTCAGCCCGGGGGTTTGGCATTCCAGCAACGCCAACGGGGCCCTCTGGATAAGTTCCTTGATTTTTGGCGTGACGCAGAAGGTGTTGGTATGTTCGAGGATTACACTGAAACCATTGGTGTTTGCAAGCACTGTTTTGAACCGGGCACCTCCTCGCGCGACGCACCTCGAAAACATTATTATAGACCCCGCCGTCGCTCTAGTGATCGCTATAGCAATGGCTCACGAGTGCACAAAACTAATCATAACAGTTCTTCAGAGGACGAAGGTCGACGTCGCAAGAAAACCTCCACAAGCTCCTGGCTACCTGGGATGCTTGCTGGGTACGCTATAAAATCGGCCTTTAAGAACAGAGACTTCGAGGATACCTATAGTGTTCGGTCTGGCCGAGCTGCAAGCTCGGCATCTGATACTGAAAACCTATCAACGCTCGAGAAGCGGAGTCACACATCTCGTGGCATCTATAGGCGCTCACACCGCCGCTCCCATGAAGACCTGCGAGACTACGAATCTCGACAGCTGCCCCACTCTAGGTCCCGATCGTCGTCAAGATCGAAGAAGCATTTTGCAGTCCGAGATGCAGCTTTGGAAGCTGCAATTGAACCAGTGGGCGACTCTGAAAGTCAGCCACGCCATCACCGCAGCAACAGCTGTAGCCGGTCACCGCGGAAGGCCAAAAATCGGAAACCATCATCTTCTGAATCATCCTTTGTAGATATCTCTAGACCAGCCAGGAAATCTGTGGGTGGTGGCTTGAGCTCATTTTTCACCGCCTCTTCTGAGAATCGCAGAAAGCGGCAGGCTAAAAAGCGCAGAAGTATATTTTCGTTCAACAATTCGTCATCATCCTCCCTAGATGCTGATTTGGCATTCGGAAATGGCTATGCCAAAAGATCATTACGGAAGTCTAAAAAGCGAAGCAAGAAGAAGGACCAGGACAACGTGGATGCGGCATTGCTAGGATTAGGAGCGACAGCAACTGCAATAGTTGCTTCAACTGACCGTCGCAGTCGACGGACAGGCGAGATTCTCGCGAGAAAGGAACCTACATCCGCTCGTTTGGGCTATCCGTCGTCTGCCACTACTGACGATGCTTGGGAGGACGTGGACTCAGGGGATCAATCGTCATCCAGTGTTAGTTCAGCACTTGCCTTCGGAGGCAGTGGACTTTATGGTAGTAATGCCTCACCGTCTTCTGATTCCGGTACATCATTGTGGGGTTGGAGATGGGGCAACAAGAAAGGCAAAAAGCAGAAGAGAACAAGGTCCAACGTATCGGATAGTCGTTTCCCTTTTAATGCTGCTGTAGCAGCGGGAGCATTGGGAACGGCCGCATTAGCCCATGACTATAACAAGCGAGGGAGACGTACCAGTGAGGACGCCGGAAGCAGTGCTGGGAATCTTCAACACGTGGCCCCAGTGCCCACTAGTGATCCTTCGCGCTTTGACGCTATCAACGTATCGCCTTTTCCTTCACAGCCGGCATTGATTCGCCCAGGACCCATCCCTCTTCAACAACCCCAACCGGTGACACCAGTCTCTCAGGCTGTCTATACTACGCAAGGAGAGACTATCCATGCCTACACTACACCATCTCGTCCTCCCCCGTTTGCCAATACATTTGCACACTATGACTATCATGCCCAAGGTTCACGAGTTGGCCTTTGGGAGCATGAAACCCCCGTTTACCATGATTCCGTCGATATGCCATCAAAAGTTACCCGCCCCCCTCGACGAAGTGACTCATCGCCTGTGTTTCATACGGAGTCTTTGGAGGGTGCATCGGTGTCTAGTGTGAAGCGTCGTTCTACCATGAAAGACCAGGGTTCCGTACAGTTTGACCTTACTAAAGAGCAAGTAGAGAAGGAGCGACGAGCAGACCATCTTGAGCGTATAAAGCGTGATTGTGGGCCCCAAGGAGTTCAACTCATTGACAGGGAGAGTGAGATTGCGGCGCAGGAGGATAAAAACAGTTCAAGACGCTCTTATGAGGGGTACCAGGATTCTGATCATGGCTCCCAGGAACAATACAGACGAGAGCCTCGAGGGGAGAGCGGCCCAGCATCAACGATTGAGCTAGCAACAGTAGGCGCGATCGGAGGTATAACTGCAGCCAGTGTGCTTTCCGGTCAAGGCTCCAACGGTGGCTCCTCCGAATCCAGCCAGAGGCGTCATTACGAACGCTCAGAGAAGCGGCGCGCAGAAAGACGCCGCGTGCCAGGTTCTGAGATATCGTCCGGCCTTCCCATGCCTGACCGTGCCTACAATGATGTTGACCAGCGCCCGAACCCGAACCCTGAACAAGAACATATCAAGACTTCAGTATTCAGTGACATTCCTCGCAAGAAGCCAGTCCATCATGATTATGCACAATTCTTCGCACCCGAAGAGTTGCGGTATAGCCCTGATACATACATGCGTCGCGAACCCGCTTCAATACCAACTATCATAGAAGTGGAACCTGCAAGTCAAAAAAGTAAGCCAGCGGAGGAGCCCCGCCCAGAATATCGTGGTCTACCATGGCCAGTTCCAGAGCTCAAGGTGGTTGAGCCCACGCCTCCTCAAAGTCAGAATGGCTCCGTAAGAGATATTGCCTCTCCGATTCCATCGCCACCAGAGGCCCCTGAAGATGAGAGGATATCAAGGCGATCAACAACAGGCTCCCGCATATCTTGGGGTAAGGATGAGACACGCGAATATGAAGTCCCATCTACATCCTCTGAACTTGACTCCGCCGATCACGAAATTATGGCAGACCGTGGACAGGAAAAGCAGACTGGTAGTGAACCCACCCAAGAAATTCCCGCCATTCAAACCGATCTGTCCAAAGGCGACACAAGTGAGTATGATACTGATATTGAAGTCGCGGCAACAGCCGCTGCAGTTGCTGCAGCCGCAGGTTTTGGTCCCTCCGTTGTGTCGGACATCAGGGAAAACCTCGCCTCTCCGTCAGGAGCTCGTGGCTATGTTGGTGAGGAGGTAACACCCGATGATGGAGAGAAGCAGCCAATCTTAGGAAAATTCGTCGAAAACGGACCAGCTTACTCTGAGCCAGCGTCGATGAGGGACGGTGTTAGAACGTTTTATGATGATCAACCTCCATCATCAATTGCACAAGAAGTGATTCAGCAGCTCACTGGAGAGCAAGCACCTGAGGTAGGTGAACTTCCCAGGAGGGCTGTGGAGGAACCGAATGAGAGCGGGCAAATGTTGGTCTTTCGAGACAAGCGTTCTGGACCCGAGTCGCCTGCAGAGGAAGTTTTACACATGCCTGGTGGATTCGAGCTAGAGGAGTCATCCAGCCAGCGGGAGCCGCGTGGAGATACACAAGAGTCAGCTCAGGATGATTCAAGCTCAATTACCTCAGCTGCTATACCTAGACATAGTGAGGCACCGACTGAGGAAGTTAGTTACTGCAAAGACAGTCGCGAATCCGACATCCCTAGTAGAGCTAGTCCACCTGCCGTTGAAGAGGGTTCTACTATCGAGAAGAAGAAGCGAAAGAAAAGATATTCCACGCGGGATAGCGATGCTTTCGATGACACCGTCTCAGTGACATCTTCCTCAGCCAGAGTTGAGGAGACTGGTGATCGCAGCAGAACTACGGATGAGCAGGCAAAAGAAAAGAGGACAGGTGGTCTATTCAGTAATATATTCGGTTCTAAAGTCTCTGAGCCGGTAGCAAGCCGACAGCTATCATCCGATAGCTATCCATCTCGCGAGGTCCAATCCGAAGTTGGGCCACGTTCTGGGGAGTCTCGACGACAACGAAGGGAGGAAAAGCGGCGACAAAGGTACGGAGAACTAGCGGACTTGGGTAAAACAACAGAACGTGAGAAGGTATGGTTCTAGTTGTTTTTGTTGTTCGTAAACTGTGATTTACCCAGTTTATTCCTATATTCGATCTTAAGCAAAGTGTATAACACATGTACTAAACATTTTCTTTTCCTTTTCTTTGTACGCAGGACCGGACAATATCGCAAGACGGAGACGTTCAGCCGTCTTTTTTAGCTGGAAGCCCCGAAATGCCTTACCAGGTAGGCGATGATGACCATGAAGGTGCTTCGGGGCGTTTGACCTCGATGGATGCAGACCTCACAGAGTTGGGACTAGATGTTTTCGAACAGCGGCCAAGAAGTCGTTCGACATCCCCACACGAAGAGGTCCAGGGTCAGCAGTCACGGCGGTCGTCCGGAGTTCGACCGACAGAGTCTCCTACCGCCGTCCCTTTGCACTTTCGTCGACCCCCACCAACATCACCACGAGCCCATCGGTCGCCTTCAGTCAGTTCAATCGTAGCACCATCTCCGGACTCTCCAACAGGGCGTTCTCGGCGTCCAGCTTCCGGTGAATTTATATCCTCACGAGAGATGCGACCTCTGTGGCTTGTCGAGCACCACGGTAGCAAAACGGAAGCTCAACCTGAGGAACCGTTACCTTCCCTACCGTCAAGTAAGACATCATCTGCAAATGCATCCGCTGAGAATCTCGTATCTCTGCAGGATGAGAAGAACTGGGAAAAGATAGATTTGAGCCCCAGTATTCATAGAGACCAGCGGCATGTTGACGTTGATATGCCTTCTGATTCTCAACACGGAGTGCTTGGTTCCCAAGAAGTAACACCTACTGCCGCAAGCTTTGGACAAATAAATGCCTATCAGCCACCTCGGAAGGATAAGCCCAAGTACGAGTTCCATTCGCCCTCTGAGCTTCTCCAGGATCCGTGCACTTATGCAGAGCTGCCTCCTTCTCCAACAATGGGGCTTCTTCCTTCTGCCGAGGGCTCTGCAGTCGGCGTAAAAGACGATGGCAGGCTGGAGCGCAACCTGGACAGCCTTCCATCTCTACCTGTGTCCCGACCCTCTACTCCTGAAAGTGAACAACTTCGTGCTTCAGACGCTGCTGAAGAAAATCTGACTAGAGAGCTGACAGCTCCCGACTTTGCAACGCCAAGGACCGGGAACGATACTCCATCCGCAGATGTCGACACGCCTATTATGAAGGTACTCGATATTGATCTACGGGATCTTCAGCCATCTGACGAGAAAGCCCCCACAAAAGCCACCCGGGGTAATATTGAGTCAGGCGATGCTCTAATGTCTCATGAACCAACTTCCCAGGGTCTGCCAGATGAGGCTATTCCTGTGCGTCCAGCTGTCCAAGTCCCAACGATCGAGACAGTAGAAAAAGTTAGAGAGGATCTAGAACAGGCAGCTACCACCCCTGTCGACATTGTCAACGTGGCAATTGCAGACTCTGTGCTACCTGCTGAAGAGGAACGCGCATTGTCTGCCGAACCGCTACAATCTCAAATTACTGACGAGGCAAAGCCGGGAATCAGTGCTACAGTATATGAGAAAGCGCAACCACAAGAGGCACCCCCTGGAGTGCAATCCGAGCCACAAAAGCCTGCAACAGAGGATAACGAGTCATTGGGAAATGCTGAGGCTAAAACTGAGTCTAATTCTAACCTCACTTCTGCCAAGATTCTTTCTGTTGAAGGCGAAGAAGCAGAGATTGCTGATGGAGCAACAGTCACAGGATCAGCCAAGCCAATAACGGGGAGTATAGACAAGGCTGCCAACGAAGCAGTCCAAGCACCCATTGCTGAAGAACTAACAGTTGATGCTACTTCTCCAAGTTCATCGAAGAAGAAGAAGAAAGCTAAAAAGAAAAAAACCAAGAGTGTGGATCTACATGATCAGGAGCCACAAGATACTGCAGCCATAGCTCGTGCAGCCCCTTCATCCCCTGAAGATGTTGAGAAAAAGGATGGGGCAATGGCTGAAGGAGAAACCCCGAGTGAACAGATTTCTCCACCAGAAAGCATCGAGAAATCCACAGGAGCTGATGTAGAGTCCGCCACAGACCTCTTAAAGCCAGACGAGGCAGCAAATGTACAAGTATCTGTGGATATGCCTGTTTCTGAGCCTGAGCCTGTTGTGAATATTACCAGAACTGAAGACGCACTTGCAGCTGAAAACGAGGTTATTGCGAGTGACCTCAAAGCTGGGGAAGAAGCGGGTATGCAGGCAATTGAGGGACGCCCGCTCTCGGAGTGGGAACCTACTGTCCAATCTGAAAACCCACAAAGCATCGTTGACCTAGCGGCCCCCGTGAATCTATCTAAGCAGGAGCCTCCTTTGGAGATACTGCTGTCAGAAGATGCTCCCCTAGCTGCAGACACTTCAATAACTGAACAGAAACCCAACCCAGAGGCCTTGGAGACAGACGCGGTTCAGGAAACGCAGGCACCCGAGGTTGCGACGGCTCCTGTGCAAGGGTTATCCAAAGTTGAAGATGCTCTCACCATTCCAGACGTTCTTGTACCCGAGCAGGTGATACCTAAGGCGGAAGGGGATGCTCACCGGGAAAGCTTTGAATCGGATAAAATGCAGGATTTCGATGCGAAACAAGGGTCTACCGAGAGAGAAGCAGCTGCGAATACAGATACCCCTACCAACAGTTTGGAGAGTGACAAGGAGAGCAAGAGATCTGATGTAAATGAGAGCGTCAAAGAGCTTGGTGGCGTGGAGTTTGTGATGGCTAGCAAGACGGAACCAGAGGCTAGTGTGCAGGCAGGTGAAAAGCCTTCAAAATCTGTCATTGGTGATTACCAGCCTGTGGAAGAAGACTTGGTGCCTTCAAAGGAAGAAACTATCTCCACCTCTGAACATCCCATGCAAGGTATAATGGAGGGAGCTGAAAGCCTGGAGTTCAGCGGACAGGATGTTGTACTGCCTGAAAAGTCCTTTGAGCACGCAGAGGAGCTTGATGAACAAAGTAAAGAATACCGCCAGTCAGTACCACAAGACTCAACAGAACACAGTGCCTCCGCTCAAGACGACGCTCCTCGGGTTGTTTCTGAACCTAGCACTGTAGTGCTAGAGCCGCCTACGGAAGCTACTTCTCTGAGTGTCCTTGGAGGTCACAAAAGTCCTGCGGCAGATTTGCAGGAGGGGCTAATCCCCGAAGCGAGTACCGTTGACCCTGCTCCGGTCGAATCTGAATCCGGACCATCACAACTCGAAAGTGGGCAAACTACCACGACAGAAGAGGCCAAAGCATCAATGGAACCGGGCTCCGGAAAGATATCGTCAGAACAAGACCAGATGCAGGGCAATGCTGCGCCTGTTCAACCAACATCTTCTCCCGAGTCGGCGGCTGAAGTTGCTGAGGCTGGTACAAAATGTCAAGATACCGACGTTACCGACGCGCAAACTGAAACTTCCTTGTCGCGACGAAGCAGCAAGAAGAACAAAAAGAAAAGCAAGCGCGATGGTATTACGGTGCCGCCTGAGGATAAAGGGACAAATGATGTTCCACCTAATGTGCCTTCTAGTGAAGGAGCCACGCCACAAGTGGAAGACGACCCTGCTGTGCCCCCCAAAGAAGAACCGGAAGCAAGGCAGTCCGAGGAAACCCCGGGCAACGAACACGAGGGCGCTATGGACGTTTCGCCTGAAAGGACACCAGGCGCCACTGCAGATACACGAATTGAGTCCCAAGATGCTGATATCGCGGAGATGGCGCAGAAAGCCGGGTTAGAGGAAGCTTCAGAAGGACAGTCAACGAAGAAGGGCAAAAAGAAAAAGAAAAATCGCAAATCCATATCTTCCGATTCTCAAGCTGTGGCCGATGCGGAGACCCAACCTCCACTCTCCGCTGAGGGGCTTCCTGCCGAAACCCCACTGGCGGAAATAAGCGGGGTGGTTCATCCTACGGAAGACAAACAAATACCACAGGAAGCTACGGCGACTAACGATATGACGGAGACGACTGAAGCCGTGGACGCTAATGCTGCAGCAGAAAATGAGCCCAGTGTACCTGTGGAGTACCCCGCTGAGCCTAATGACGGTACGCCACATATGTTTGAGCGTGTCCCAGACGATCCTGTACCTGATCTCGAACCTGAAGCAGGGGAATCTACACCGACAGGCAAGAAGAGCAAGAAAAACAAGAAAAAGAAACAAAGCTTGCAGTCCGCATCCGACGCTCACGAAGCAGCTGCTGAACCCACACCTAGCACAGATGTCGCAAGTCTAAAAATAGACATTCCTCTTGCTGCTGAAAAGCCCCAAACCACAGAAGGCCAAGAACTAGTTTTGGAGGAGACAATGGAAAGCGAACAACCCTTCAACGTAACCGAATTAGCGGAAGGCGCCGCTTCGTCAGAAACAGCACCCGAGATAACTGCTGCTCAAAAGAAGAAGGCCAAGAAAGAAAAAAAGAAGCAGCGCCGATCCGCTTTGTTGGATGAATCACCAGCTTTTGACCCCGCTATTGACCTAAACCCAGGGAATGCTTCTTCGGAACATGGTCCAGATTCTGTTGGAGAATCTGCCCCTGTCAAAGAACCTGAGGCATATGATGCTTCAACCGAGGGACCAACGCTTATCGATGAGCTAGCGAGCGAACAACCTAGGGTTGAAACGGTCACAGATACAGGGCCCAACATGGCGTTGGATGAAGGCTTGGACGAGCAATCCCAAGAACCTGCGCAGCAAGAGCCCACAGAAGCGCCCACAGACATTGCTGGTATTCTAGCAACGGAAGTAGAAAATGTAGAACTCGGCCAAACACATCATACATATCATACACCATCCGACTTGGAAGGTGCCCCTGCGAACGAAGAGCAATTAAGAACTGATGTTGATGGAAGGCACACGGTTGAAATAATGGGAGTTGAACAAGAGCCCACAAATGAAAAACAAGTTGAGGTAGAGGATGCCACGCTCAATGCTGCACCAAAAGTGAATGCAGACACGGCCCTTGAGCAACCTCAGGAAGAAACGCTAAATGAGAAAGCTGCTCCAGACCAGGCTCGAGATGCTGGAGTCCCCTTGGTTGATGTTATTCCACAAGACGCAGTTGAAGGGGAGCCTGAGATTCCTACTCCTAAGAAGTCTAAGAAGGATAAAAAGAAAAAGAAGAAACAACAGTCAATTTCTTTGGAGGAAGATCAGCCTGCGGCCGCTCTGGAAGAGACTGCGCAAGAGCCTTCTGATGCACGTCCGGACTCGCTTGAAATCTCCGGGAAACCGCATCTTTCTCTCCCCGGGGATGGTGCGGAAGAGCCACAGCGCGCCTTCTCAGAGGAGCCTACGCAACAGTCTGGAGCAAGTGAGCATGAGTGCACTGAGTCTCCGGAACAGGCTGACCTCACAAGACCTGTAGAGTCTGAATCTATGGCGGATACCCAGGAATCAGTCTCTAAGAAGAAGGCCAGGAAAGATAAGAAAAAGCGCAAGTCTGTTTCTTTTGCACACAATGAACAGGAGGCTCCCACGAAGTCATCTGAAACCACAGAAGCAACAGAAGCGAGTCACCATATTAAAGAGGCTAGCCAACCTCCAGAGCAGGCAAATGAGCAAATGGCAGAAGCCAGCTCCCTCGTTCAAACAAGTCAGGGAAATGCTGATAGTACTGCTGCCGATGAGGTACAGCCCGGAGAAACAACTGCAGACCTACACAAGGACGTTCCTGCAGTCGCAAATGGCGAGAATGGTTCAGAGTCCAACAAGGGGGCCATAGCAAACGAAGAACAAGTTACTCAGCCCTACAAGGATTCTGTTGCCGAATCACAAGCCAGCACATTGAATCCTGATCCCACGCCTTCAGTGGCGAGAGAGCTAGAAAACGAACCTACAGTTCCTGAGCCTGAAGGACATACCAATGATGACGCCCTAGCGATTGAATCCCCTGAGCAACAAGACGTACAGCAGGGTACAGGTATTCTGACCGCCCTAGAGACTACAGAGAAACACGAAGTCGAGTCCACTCCGGAAGCGTCTGTACCCGAAACACCCTCTACCTCCGTGCAGGATTCTACTGTGGTAGTCCAGGAGGTTGAACAAGAGAGCGTCCCTTCCAAGTCAAAGAAGGACAAGAAGAAGAAGAAACGCAAGACCCAAGAATCCATTGAGAACGAGGCACCTGCTGTGTCTGAGCCAAGCATCGAAGGGGCATCCGTTGAAACTGAAGAGGATAACCGTACTGCAGCTCCAGGAGTTATCGAAGAGTCAATCGAGCCGAATAATGCTGCCAAGCCATCCGAAATCTCCAGTCAAGATGTGCCGCCGTTGACGCCGGAGAGTATTGCTGAACGCACGCGAGCTGAGACCGAAGAAGTAGCTGATAGTACTGTTCACGAGGTGAAGGAGTCGGAAAGAACCGAACAGCAGGCGAGGGAACATCTGGAAGATCCTCAGAATGATGGTGCACCGGCTATGTCGGCGAAAGAAAGAAAAAAAGCGAAAAAGAAGGAAAAAAAGCGCCAGTCAAAAATCCTAGATGGTAGTGTTGCTGCCTCAGTTGTACTGGACGAAAAGACCCAAGGTCCCTTGATAAATGCAAGCACCACTTCAACTGAAGATATCACGCTTGATGCAGCCGAAACACAGGCCTCCGCTGAATTGAAACCCTCAGGCCCTTCGGTTGATACGGCAACCCCACCTGCTGAAGATGACGGTAAAGAAAATCAGTCCCACGGCACCGAGTCCCACGGCGAGAACGATAAGAATCTGTTTTGGACTGATCACATGGTATCTTCGCAGGTAGATCAACAGCAAGCCACTCCCCTCGACTCTCCCACCCAAACCGTGCCTGAGAATACCATACCCGAAAAAGTAGCTGTCTCCAGCGAACCAGTCTCATTGTCTGAGGAAATTGAGGTAGGAACAGAAGATCATGCGTCAAAGACCGAGCAGGAGGCAACTAGCGTGGTAGATAGGGTTTCCCTCGAGCGCCTGCCTGCTGAAGGCTTTGCAGCGGAAGCAGACGAAAGTGGCAAGGCGCTTACGCCAAAGGCGGACGAGTTAATGAGCCAGCAAGATACGATCCCAGCCCAGACAGATGAGATGCTTGAAGAAAAAGGTCAAGAAGCAGCGCCTGAAGCACGTCTGGTTACTGCTGAAGTAACAGGCACTTCCATGGATGATCTGCAAGCAACAAATGAAGAGGCAGTTCCTCTCTCTCCTGCCGAGGCTGGGGTTCCCGAAGACCTGCAAGAGACAAACAACGGCTCAACTTTTGACGTGGAGAAACTTGAAGCGACAGCGCCTTGGGAGAATTTATGTCAGGCGCGGGAACCAGAAGATCCTGTATTAGAAGATACCTTTTCTGGGTCTAATCGACTCTCTACGACATCACCTGAACGTGCCACGCGCGAAGCCAAATATTCGGAATTGCAAGCAAGCAGCGCTGGACCAGCCCTTGAAAGTGACGCAAAGGAATATGAAACTGCGAGCCACAGAGAAACGAGATTGGACGGAGTTGATCTCGTTTTAAACCCACTGACAGTTGAGTCACAATGTAGTAGTGCAGAGGTGACTAACACGTCAGAGTCTGCTAATGGGGCTTCAAGTGAGATACAGACAGAGCTCGGAGACTTGTTGCCAATTACCTCTGGCGAGGAGAACAGGGAGAACAAGGAAACACCCGCTGGGTCAGATGCGGCAAGAGAGACACCAGCTGGCACAGAGGCAACCGCTGAACTTTCGGAAGCCAACAAAAAGGCAATAGTGGATCCTGTGGAATCCTTAGGTCCAGGACATCAACCATCAGCTGAGAAGGAGCAACTGCAAGCCAGTATTGAACCTACACCTGAGCAGTGGAGCCACGAAGAACTGAAGTATGTCGCTAGAACAGAGGGGGAAATCGTGACACAGCCTTTAAACCGCAAAGCGTCGAAAAAACAGAAAAAGAAAGCGAAAAAGCAAGCCAAGGAAGCGTCAATAGAAATCGCTGGTCCTTCACTTGCAGAGTCTAAAAGAGTGATAGATGCAGAAAGCGTCCTTGAGCCAACAGTCGGCTCCACGGAAATGGCTGGCGCCGCTGAATCCCGTTTGGCGCCCGAAGAAAAGCCCATGCAGAGCCAAGGAGTGCAAGGCCCACAGAGCGAGTCAGACGTATCGAAGCCGACATTTGAGGCTGTATCCACAACGGAAGAAAGAAGTCCGCCCATAGCTAGGATGTTTCCCAATCAGACTCAAGCCACGCATAAGTTACAGGAGGGAGAGGGCAAAGACGCAGATGGCGAGCCAAAGTTGAGCAGCCAGACTTCCGAGGGAGGCAATTTTGAGACAGCCGAAGAGCGAACTCAACAGGAAATTGCAGTTCCCGGATCCGTATCAAAGGAGGAGGAAGGGAAATTCAAGCAAGAGGCTGAGTTGCAGGTTCCTGAGCAAACAGAGCAAGCATCAGGGGAAAATACCAAGACTGCTGGTGGGGCCCTGCTTTTACACGAAGCAAATCCTGAGAATTCAGAGCTTCCAATGGCTGAAGCAACCAGGGCAGAGATTTTCCCTTCCAGAACATTATCTCGGGACAACAAGCAGCAGAACGAAGAGAACCTGAGCGTAGGGGCCAAGGAGCCAGAAGAAAGTGAAAGTGTCAGTGGAGAGGCAAACGTGAAACATTCCCAAGACCGCTATCATTCAGAGACATTGGTAACGGAACAGTCTGCAAAGGATGATGAATGGCCTTTGATAGATTGGGAGAAGGAAAGAGTCGATGCTTCAGAACAGACTCCCCAATCTTCACCTGAAGCTTGCGCGGCCCCATTTGAGCCAGGTATTGCCGATTTCGATGAGTTTGCTATTCCAGAAGGGCTAACCAGATAACCAGACGAGTCGGCTGAAGCCATAAAGGCGAAGGCAATTATGGGGCCGCAAGGACAGGATTCTGAGGCGAAACTTGCGACGCCAGAAGCAACCGTCGAACCAGCTGAGTATGTTGCTGACCAATTTGCTCCGTCAACGGGGGAGCCCGGTACGGAGCCAGTCTCAGAAGCGACCCGAGAGCATGCCCTAGACGATGCAGAAAGCTCTATCCCGGGAAAGCAGATGATGGGAGAACCTGGCTCAGTTTCCCAGAAGCAAAGCAAAATTGCCAGTATATTTCCTAACTTGGAACGAGGGGCATTTCGGCGACCTATCACCACCAAGTCGTCGGAGTCAGTAAAAGATGGGGCTGAGGATGAGACCAATGAACAAGCGCAGGTCTCGGAAGCGCCCATCGCTACCACTGACGGTAAGAACAGCGACCACATTGCGAATCCTCTTGTGACTTCAGAGCGGTCAACTACTGCTATGCTAGAGGACCTACCAGGAGAGGCTATAATTCGTGATATCCACATGCCGGTTGTATCTCATTCAGTTCAAGCAAGCTACAAGGACTCCAAGGATGTTCGATATACAAAAGCTGAAACAGCTGAGACGCATTCTCTTGCGCGGGAGATTCCATTACACGCGCCAACTCCAATCCACAAACAACCGTCTACACTAATCAGCGCCTCATCGGATACTATGTGTATAGACCGGCAAGCAAGTCCCGAGTCTCTCTATAAACTTGGCCGCAGTCCGTCCATCCAGAGATCGCGCGACCCCTCCCCACGGCCAAAGCCATCGGAAGAAGATGCATCAACTGAACAACCAAACAGCACACCGCCATCTTCAGCCTCTGGGGTAGACAGAGGCGCAATCTCCCCTTCCCGAACTCCATTGCAACCTATTGCAGAACACGAACCAGTTGATCGGACAACAACCCCCATAGGAGCCATGAACCAGGGCCAGGGAACGCCCCGCCTGGAGATGAAGCCAGAACATGTGCTTCCGCGGCCCGAGACACCGGTCAGGAAATTTACAGACAATGCTCTGGCGCGCCAGGCATGGCCTACACTTGACAGAGATGGAGATGGAGAGTTTCACATCAGGAAGAATGGTGCAGCGAGATCTATTGACTGCGAATGGACTGCGGAAGCCATCCAAACACCTGAACGAGGCATCCTGAGACCGAGCAGTATGGGTAGCATTAAAAGCGTGCGCAGCGCACACTCGCAACGGTCACTCCGACGAACGGATCGCAGCGCGGGCGGCGATTTGCGGGCGGCGAGCCAAGCACAAACAGGCGCCCGCCAATCATCGTGCAGCCCCCAGCCACCACCTGTCGAGCCCCCTCTTTCGGACCTCAATATTGAGCACATAGCTTCCTCCTCTTCCTACGACCCCGTCACCGATAAGGGCAAACGGCCCATGCGAGCCATGACTGATGTTTACGTAAGTATTCTTGGTTCCCATAGTTTTACTCATTGTGGTTTTAAGTCACTCACGTTTATTTACTTAGGAGAGCTGGGGGGAAATACCGAACTCGCCTCGGTCGCCTAGCCGACCGCCTAGCATCCGGCACCGTCGAAGCATGCAACACTTACAAGAGCTTGAGACTCGACTCGACCGACTCGTTTCGGAGAATCGCTTGCTTGTTGCTGCGCGGGAAGCTGCTGAAGACAAGCTGCGCAATGCAAGTGTTGCTCGTCGCAAGAGTGACCATGCTCTCAACGAGCGAGCTGCAGACTTGCGAGACAGGGAAGCTGAAGTGGAACAACTTAAGAATTCAGTAGAATGGCTTCAGAAAGAAGTGTCCCGGTTGACTGAAGAAAACGAACGGCTGACTGTCACGAACTCCACCATTACCGTCGCCCATGCTGCCGAGATCCAAACTATTCGGGTGTCATCAAACCGTGAGCTAGACGATTTGCGCCTACAGAATCAGCAGCTGTCGAACGAAATGCAAGATAGAGTGCGTCAGGAGATTGATGCGGCACTGGCTCAGAAGAATATGGAGCTGCGCAGGTTGCGAGAGGATTTAGAGGGCGCCCGGGACAAAGTGAAGGAACTACAACAGCAGATCGCCGCATCCATGCACGATACCGTGTTAGTTTTCAGAGATGAGGACTACTTTGATGCAGCGTGCCAAAAGCTGTGTGGCCATGTTCAACAGTGGGTGCTACGCTTCTCCAAGCACTCTGACCTACGCCGCTGTCGCAAGCTCGACGATATTCAGGACGAGAAGATTGCCGACCGGTTTGAAAATGCCATACTCGATGGATCCGATGCCGATATCTATCTCTCCGACCGGGTTCGTCGACGCGATATATTTATGTCGGTGGTGATGACAATGGTGTGGGAATTCATTTTCACTCGCTACCTGTTCGGCATGGACCGTGAACAACGACAAAAGCTCAAGTCTCTTGAAAAACAGCTAGGTGAGGTAGGCCCGCGCGGTGCAGTTCATCGTTGGAGGGCTACTACCCTAAGCCTTCTCTCAAAGCGGCCTGCTTTCTCCCGGCAGCGTCAGAACGATACAGAAGCGGTGGCCTTGGAGATCTTTGAGACGCTGTCCCGTCTTCTCCCACCGCCGAGCAATGTAGAGTCCCAGCTTCTAGAGTCTCTGCGCAAGGTACTGCGGGTTGCCGTCAACCTATCTATCGAAATGCGCACGCAGCTGGCGGAATACATCATGCTCCCCCCACTACAACCTGAGTACGATACCAATGGTGACCTTGCACGGCAAGTTTATTTCAATGCGTCCCTTATGAACGAGCGCAGCGGCGAAACTACTTCAAATGAGGAACTGGAATCCCAACAAGCCGTGGTACGGGTTGTCCTGTTCCCTTTGGTAGTGAAGAAGGGCAATGATGCAGGTGAAGGCGAAGATGAAGTAGTTGTTTGCCCGGCGCAAGTACTCGTTGCACGTTCTCCTAAAGATAAGAAGGTTACCAGAATGCTCAGTGGTGACCGAATGTCCTTCGATGGCACCAGATCCATTCACAGTATCGCTCCGTCGTCGACCATGGACATGAGCAATGTGATTTGAGGCGTCACACTCGATCATATCTCGCCATGAGTTCACTTCAACTGTTGCTGATGGACAAAAATCATTGAGAAAACAATAGAATGGTTATATTTTCTTTTGGGGTGACAAAAGGCATAGTACTTGGGCGTCAAGGTCAAAGATGAATGGTTGGATAATGGGTCAATACGGTTTGGAAACACGAACAGGTAATGATAATTGCGATGGGAGTGGGATCGGACTTTTTTTTTATTTTTTTTTTATCTTTATCTTTGTCTCTTTTCTTTTCTTTTCTTCTCTTCTCTTCTCTTTTTTGCCGTCCAATTTACCCCGTTTTTCTTGCTTAACCACTGTTACTTTTATGACGATCATGACGATGCCAACATCTCCGTCTACTTTTTAGAGCTTATGATGTCACGGCCTGTTTATTTTCCTCTTCTTGATATAATGACTGCTTTCTATGTATATGAGAGACGAGTTTGATTTTGTTCATTATCTAATGACACTCGTCTGAGTGCATGCTTATCTTCTGTATTTATGTACTTCTATGAATATTTTTTGTTCATTTTGATAACCATGCGCTGTCGATTAATTAGGTTTCATAGGGCCCGTAGGGTAGAAAAGCGGAGTGCTGACTTCATACATCATACATTCCGAAAGTTAAAGCTCAGAAAAAAGAAACAATCGTGGGGCCTGAGGCTGACCCAGACCAAGCCAAACTTCCAAAAACTGGGCTGTGTCTTGACCTCCTTTCCCACGCACTCTCTCTCTCACACTCTCCATTTGACACCGTCTTTTCTCCTGCAGCTCAGGCAACTCTTTTCTTCCAACGAGTGTCTCTTTGATGGAGTCCTCCCTTGCTCTTGTCCAATTCCCCATGTCCCACCGCAACTTGCCACAGGTTCCATTTTCGCCAATCATTGCTCCTTGCCCCGTGTTTCGGTGAATTGGCATCGACAATGCTGGATTCTGTTACACTGGGCCTATCACAACTGCATAAACGTTGAACTGGCATTTGTTTTAATCCGGTACTTTATTACCCAATTCGGTGTTGGATTGTGCTCTACAAGGGAGATAAGCATACTCGGCTTTCTTCGGTCTGCCAATCATCGTGGATACCTCGCGCGCTGCACCCTCCCATCAGCATGGCTGACGCTCCATCTGCTGCGTATCAAACGGGCTCCAATCACGGTTTGTCTTCTTCACAAGATGGCCGCTCCGTCAACTCACGTCCAGACACTCGCCGCTCCACTACCTATGATCCCTTAGCTTCCGAAACGACGCAAGACCCTCAGGTTGATAGCAAATCGACCACGGGAAAGCGCGCGAAACGAAAGAAAAAGCATAGGAAACGTCATAATCGTCGACAATCTTTTATCAGTGCCGAAGATCCTCATGTCACAGCTCCTACTACCCCGAGGCCCGAAGTGGAACACATGGCTATAATGGCGGATCAGACCAAGTCTCGAGGCGCGCTTCCGTTCTACAAGCTGGGGAGAGACTTAAGTAGCACTAGTCTGGAAAGTGAAGCTTTACTGGACCATAGGTATGTGTTGTCTTTGATGCTATTGTCTATGTTAGCTCTATCACTGACCCATGTCCGGAACTGCCCAGGAATCAGCCCATGATGCGGCCGCGCAGAGACAGCCGACTTGCTCAATCTTTTCGACCCGGTTCCTTGTCCACTACAGTCCGTACCGGTGATTTGGGCTCTCGTACTCAGCCGTCTGGTACAAGAACTTTTCCTGCAGATGATGACAGCGATGGCCCTAACCCTGTGGATGATCGGACACCGTTGATGCGCCCGTCATCCGCTCATAGGCCCAATATCTCTAGGTATGGAACCGATTCGAAGTCGACTCCATTCAGTTTTCGCCGACGTCCGTCAGTCCAAACGGACTCGTCCCGATGCTCACCTCGTCGCATCCCGAGCCCCGGGTTTCCCGAACAGGATCGCGATTATGATATCAACAATCCGCCATCGATGCCAACTTCACCAAAGCTTGGGGCGGACATGGGCTATGATGATGCCGTTGTGACGGGGGCTGATTTTGACTTCTCTTTGGCCAAGTCTATCGACAATCGGATGGAATCGATGCCCCGATCACACGACATGGTAATCGATGTTGAAAGCGGTACCAACCGAATCCGAAGCTCTCCTCCATCTTCCGTGTCGCCGCGACATCGTCCTCCGCAAGAAGGTCTCCTTCGACGCCGGACTTTGCCCGTCGAAGAAGATGTTTGCTTTCCAACCGAGGAAGTATCTGAACTGGCCGATGAGGACGCTGCGAGGGCACCGCGTGAAACCGAGCGTCGGAGACGGCGGCGCAGAGAATGGCCTGACCTATCAGTTTTGGAGGAATGGAGCCGAGAGGAAAAAGAGGACCGCACAGGTGACTTTCGAGCAAAGAAGATTAGCGAACCTATGCTTATCGAAGGTCGTCTGCGCCCACAGTATCAGCTTTGGCGACGAGAGGAAGAGGAGGCACCTTATCGATTCACATACTTCAATGAGGAATTCCAGAGTACGATACACGCCCAGACAATATCCGAGCTGGTACAACCGGGAAGCAGCTTCCGCGAGCTTTTTATCCCCAACCCTCCAGAATTGGAGATTTCTTCAGACGAAGAGACGGATTCCGATCATGACCCCGAAGAAGAGGCCTTTGACAATAAACATAACAACAACCACGACTATGATGGAAACCGGGCTTCGCCATTCATTAACAGTCACCATGATACTGTGATCGGCCCTAAGCAACAACCTCGTATGTCTATCATCAGCGAAGCTGTTTCTGAAGCACGCACATCAGCAAACGCCTCCCCGTCTCGTCGGCCGCAGCAACAAACGAAGCCAAAAAAGTATGGGCCCCGGCCAACCTTCTGGCTTGACGTTCTTTGCCCTACGGATGCAGAGATGCGAGTGATCGCCAAAGCCTTCGGGGTCCACGCGCTTACAGCAGAGGACATCATGATGCAAGAGGCACGGGAGAAGGTTGAACTATTTCGGAATTATTATTTCGTCAATTATCGAACTTTCGATCAAGACCCAAACAGTGAGAACTACCTGCAACCAGTGAATATGTACGTGGTTGTGTTTCGGGAAGGAGTCTTGTCCTTCCACTTTTCTCAGACACCTCACCCGGCGAATGTGCGCCGGCGAATCCGTCAACTAATGGATTACTTGATCCTAAGCTCTGATTGGATATCGTATGCCATAATAGATGATATCACTGACGTCTTCGGCCCGCTGATCCAGTCTATCGAAGATGAGGTCGACGAGATTGATGGCATGATCATGAAAATGCACTCCCCTGAGCCGGTAATGGGCCAAAGCAGCAAGCTCGAGGACGATGGAGTTGAAGCCTCGACTACACTAGCTCCCGGTGAGGTGCTTCGAAGGGTAGGGGTTTGTCGGAAGAAAGTGATGGGCATGTATCGACTGCTAAGCAACAAGGCAGACGTTGTCAAAGGCTTTGCCAAACGTTGCAACGAGCAGTGGGAAGTGGCACCGAAGTCGGAGATTGGCCTATACTTGGGAGACATCCAGGATCACATCATGACAATGACGAGTAGCTTGACCTACTACGAAACGTATGTTAGGATCCCTCCTCGTAGAATTTTTTAACTGACCGACCATCAAGGCTTCTGTCCCGAGCACATTCCAACTATCTCGCACAGATCAACATTCTCATGAATGAGCGCCAGGAACAGACTGCGGACGTATTAGGCAAGTTGACCGTGATGGGCACAATCGTTCTTCCACTTAACATTATCTGTGGCATGTGGGGGATGAACGTCAAGGTGCCGGGTCAGGAAGTGGATAGCTTGACGTGGTTTTGGTCGAGTAGGTTTCCCTTGCTTTCACACAGCTTCCCATAGATCTGATGATGGACTGGCTAACATCCTGTCTTTGATTAGTTACGGCTGGTTTGATCATGTTCGCCTTTGCGTCATTTCTCATTGCCAAACGGGTGTATAAGATTGTGTAGCCCGCAATGCAATAACGTATTGCACCCTGGATATCAGTTTACGATGTGTCTAGTAATCCAGTCTACATTTACAGCAAAGGGGGCTTTGGTTTTGCAATAATTGCCCCCTGTATTGATTCTATATGCGGTCATGTGCTACTGGCTAGATCTGTTTCGGCTGGTATAGAGCTATGGAACTTGGGGCTATTCTCTTTTCCCTTTTTCCTTTCCAAAAGAAAGGGGGGGCATAAATAATCAAATACATAAAATGAAATTCAAGAAAATAAAAATAGAAAGAGAAATCTATCTTTCCTCCCCCTCGCCCTTGTTTGATGAATTTGGCCATGATTGGTTTGCCCTGCAAGTTCAAAGGCTGTGGGGGGTTTGTTTATGTCTGTACTACTAGTAGTATGTAACATCGCCTTTTCTTTTCGGTTTTTTTTTTTTTTTTTTTTTTTTTTTTTACATCTTCGCTAGCACGGAAACAAGATGGCTTGTAGAGTCTTTTGATTTGTCCTTTCCCTTCGTTTGTGTTCCATTTCTCATGAGGTCATGATGACTGGGGGTAATTTGAGTAATTTTAGGACGGATACACAGCATCCTGCCGTCTTTTCTGGTAATTTTCGCGGGTGAATAACCTTTTTAGCTTTTTGGGCGTTCCGGGCCAGGTTCTTCTTCATCATTACCGCATCGATCTCCTCATCCTTCTCATCCTCACTCTCTTTTTTCCCTTTCCCTCTTCCTCTCCACCCACGGTCACTTCCTTTCTCTACTACTACTACTACTACCTTACCCATTCTTGCTGTATACAATCCCACACAATCTTTGTGACCGTTTCCCCCCTTTCGCTCCTCCTTATCATTCGCGGGTGTTCCTCCGCCCCGTTCCCACCGCTAACCCATCCTTGTGGGTGCCTTCCTGCCTGTGCGCCCCAGATCGTGTCCTCGGCCTTCCCACACTAAACCTTTCGTTCCTTGACGTGGGCCCCTGTCATTGGCCTCGGTTTCCCCCTCCCCTGAGTGGGTGGTCGATAGTCTAGTCTCCTACTATTCT